CTCTACCCTGGTGCAAACTATGATAAAGCTCTACACTGAGTGCAACAACTGATAAAGCTCTACACTGTGTGCAACATGATAAAGCTCTACACTGTGTGACACACATGATAAAGCTCTACACTGTGTGACACACATGATAAAGCTCTACACTGTGTGACACATAGATAAAGCTCTACACTGTGTGAACATGAACATAAAGCTCTACCTGTGTGTAACAATGATAAAGCTCTACACTGAGTGTAACATGATAAAGCTCTACACTAAAAAACAAAGCCTTGGTGCAACATGAATAAAGCTCTACACTGTGTGCAAACATGATAAAGCTCTACCACTGAATGTAACATGATAAAGCTCTACACTGTGTGCAACATAAGTATGAGGAACATCTAAACTACCTGTGTGAAACAATGATAAAGCTCTACACTGTGTGAAACATGATAAAGCTCTACACCGTGTGCATAATTGATAAAGCTCTACACTGGTGCAACTGATAAAGCTCTACACTGTGTGACATACATGATAAAGCTCTACACTGGTGCAAACAATGATAAAGCTCTACACTGTGTGCAACAAATGATAAAGCTCTACACTGAATTAACTTGATAAAGCTCTACACTGGTGCAAACTAATGATAAAGCTCTACCCTGTGTGCAACATGATAAAGCTCTACACTTGAATAACATGATAAAGCTCTACACTGTGTGAACATAACTAAAAGCTCTACACTGTGTGTAACATTGATAAAGCTCTATGCTGTTGAACATGATAAAAGCTCTACACTGTGTGCAACAATGATAAAGCTCTACACTGATGTGTAACATATTAAAGTTCTACACTGTGTGTAACTGATAAAGCTCTACACTGAGTGCAACTGATAAATAAGCTCTACACTGTGTGTAACTGATAAAGCTCTACACTGTGAGCAACATGATAAAGCTCTACACTGTGTGTAACATTGAATAATAGGATCTACCTGACATGTTGCATAATGATAAAGTTCTACACCGTGGTGCCAACATGATAATGCTTGACAACATGTGATTGCATACATGATAAAGATTACAACTGTGTGTCAACATGATTAAAGCTCTAACACTGTGTGCAACATGAAATAAAGCTCCATCACTGAGTGAAACAAACACATGTTTAAAGTCTCATACACTGAGAGATACATGAAGGCCTACACCTGATTCACTTTTCGAACAATGGTCACCGTGATCATACGTTAAAACACATGTTAGATGGATAACAACCAGTGGTACGGTAATAGATCTGGTTCCTCACAGTAATAAACAGGTAGTTATGCAGTGTGTGACAATGCAGTGATTCTATACAGTGTACAATAACAACATGCAGTGATTCTATACAGTGTACAATAACAACACGCAGTGATTCTATACAGTGTACAATAACAACACGCAGTGATTCTATACAGTGTACAATAACAACACGCAGTGATTCTATACAGTGTACAATAACACGCAGTGATTCTATACAGTGTGCAATAACAACATGCAGTGATTCTATACAGTGTACAATAACAACATGCAGTGATTCCATACAGTGTACAATAACAACATGCAGTGATTCTATACAGTGTACAATAACAACACGCAGTGATTCTATACAGTGTACAATAACAACACGCAGTGATTCTATACAGTGTACAATAACAACATGCAGTGATTCTATACAGTGTACAATAACAACATGCAGTGATTCTATACAGTGTACAATAACAACACGCAGTGATTCTATACAGTGTACAAAAACAACATGCAGTGATTCTATACAGTGTACAATAACAACATGCAGTGATTCTATACAGTGTACAATAACAACATGCAGTGATTCTATACAGTGTACAATAACAACATGCAGTGATTCTATACAGTGTACAATAACAACAGCAGTGATTCTATACAGTGTACAATAACACAGCAGTGATTCTATACAGTGTACAATAAAACACGCAGTGATTCTATACAGTGTACAATAACAACACGCAGTGATTCTATACAGTGTACAATAACAACACGCAGTGATTCTATACAGTGTACAATAACAGCATGCAGTGATTCTATACAGTGTACAATAACAATGCAGTGATTCTATACAGTGTACAATAACAACACGCAGTGATTCTATACAGTGTACAATAACACGCAGTGATTCTATACAGTGTACAATAACACGCAGTGATTCTATACAGTGTACAATAACAACACGCAGTGATTCTATACAGTGTACAATAACAACACGCAGTGATTCTATACAGTGTACAATAACACGCAGTGATTCTATACAGTGTACAATAACACGCAGTGATTCTATACAGTGTACAATAACAACACGCAGTGATTCTAATCTACAGTGTTACATAAATCACGCAGTGATTCTATACAGTGTACAATAACACGCAGTGATTCTATACAGTGTACAATAACAACACGCAGTGATTCTATACAGTGTACAATAACACGCAGTGATTCTATACAGTGTACAATAACACGCAGTGATTCTATACAGTGTTTTGGGGAGTACAATAACACGCATGATTATGCAGTGTACAATAAACACAGCAGTGATTCACATATGCAGTGACAATTAAGGAACAATATAATATAGTGTGGATCACAGTGTACAATAAGGACATATATGATGGTGGATCACAGTGTACAATAAGGACATATATGATGGTGGATCACAGTGTGCAATAAGGACATATATGATGGTGGATCACAGTGTACAATAAGGACATATATGATGGTGGATCACAGTGTACAATAAGGACATATATGATGGTGGATCACAGTGTACAATAAGGACATATATGATGGTGGATCACAGTGTGCAATAAGGACATATATGATGGTGGATCACAGTGTACAATAAGGACATATAAGATGGTGGATCACAGAAAGTCAACATCAGTATTCATGTGATCTCTGGAGGTTAAGATAAACTAAACAAAGCTGAAAGTGTTAAATATATAAGACAAGGTTGATACACTCAAGTTTTTACTGGTAAATCTCAGAATTAAGAAAAAATAATGAATAATCATGTACCAAAAAAATTGGTCTCTGATCTTAGGAACTGACATTTGGATAGATTTATCTTTAATTTGGCTTCACGCTTACCTAGTACCAAATCTAGCTTTGAAGATGCATTTCCACATACAGTGGACCCCCGCATAACGAATACCTCCGAATGCGACCAATTATGTAAGTGTATTTATGTAAGTGCGTTTGTACGTGTATGTTTGGGGGTCTGAAATGGACTAATCTACTTCACAATATTCCTTATGGGAACAAATTCGGTCAGTACTGGCACCTGAACATACTTCTGGAGTGAAAAAATATCGGTAACCGGGGGTCCACTGTATTTGAACATAACGATTACATTGTCTAGATACACCATAAATGTGTTACCTACAAGGCTTTGAAATATGTTCGTCATTAGCCTCAAGAATGTGATTGGTGGTAAGCGTAAGCCAAAGGCCATTCTGAGGAAGTGATAATGACCTGTTGGAGTGAAAAAGAATATTAGCTTTTGGTTGTCCTTATTAAGGAGTTGCCAAAACCCCTTGTAACACCAAGAACACGGACCTACTCTGCATGGGTCAGTAGGCCTGTTGCAGTGTTCCTTCTTTCTTATCTTATGTTCTTATTTTAGCATTCAACTTCCTGAAGTTATCACTGGAGAGCAAGTACCATCTTTTAGGTACTAAGATCACTGGCGCATTCCAGGGTGAATTACTATGTGAGATGATACTGCCATCTGGTTGACTAACTCATTTGTGACAGCAACTTGCTAATGAGGTCATTAGCAATCAACTCAGGTACATAAATGGGTCTTGTACCAGAGTCAAGTGGAATATGAAATGGTAAATTTGGTAATACCATCATGACTCTACGTTTGTTCAACACAAAGAACAAACTCGTGATTTCATCTGGGAAGTCTATAGCAGCTACAACTTTATCCTCTACTGGCAGGGCACATGGACTTTCCCTGGGTGAAAATAGCACCAACCTACTGGTCAGTTGACATCTCCTCCCCTACGCTAACAAGATACCTGTAATGAACAAAGTCATTGATGATGATCGCTCTGACATAGACATTATGACCAGAGACACGACTCACAAAATAGTAATGACGCGATTGCAAACAAACCATACCACGGGTGGGGGTGGGGTATGAACCCGCAGTCAGAGAGTGGCTAACGCGACGGTCTGGAGTTCTGAGGCTCTCTGACTGCGGGTTCAAACCCCACCTGTGGTATGGTTTATTATGACCAGAGGTATTAGCAAGGAAAGAGATATATCTTATTACCTCGTACAACATGTAAGGCCAGTTCAACGGACACTTTAGATTACAAGACTCGCTGTCAACTACTAGAGTCACTATCTCGAACACGAGGGATAAAAACTGACACTCTAGTAAGTACACTAAACACATCAGAAAAGTCTTTCTGCAGACAACCTGCGGCATCAACAAGAAAAGGTACGACTTGTTTCAAGTAGTCACTTTGAAAAAAGGCATTCCCAGAGGTGGAACTACTACCTGGATAAGTACCCATCGTTGGGATAGTTCCAGTACCCTAGTCTGTCTGAGCTTCTTCTGACACAAGAGGCAAATGCACACTATCCTATCCTACATGAATAAAGTTGCAGAAGATGGTTTCCATACTGTAACGACAGTCGTACCAGTGCCTGGTTATGTTACTGGAAAACGCACAAATCTGTAAAGACTTAATCCGAACTTCATACTCCGACGCAGTATGAGAGATATTGGATCCAATTAGTAGCAGAATGGTACAACCATGTCATCAGTTCGGGCATACCACTGGTATGGGTCACACACAATATGCAGGTCTCCCATCAATGCAAATTCTAGTAGATCACCAGGGAGACTGATATAGTTTACTATGAGGCAAGAAGGTGAAAATTGAGGTGAGGGAAGTTTGACTTCGGACAAGCAGAGTGGAACCAGCCACTCCACTAAGGGTGGTTAGATGAGGTGCTTCTACAAGACATGACGGAGTCGCTTATCTTAAAGAGGGTAGATCGAATGGTGTTAACTTGCTCACCAGAGTCCATGAACACATGATCGGGTACGCTGTACATGGAGGCTTCTACTAAAGGACCAACTGTAACATTGGAATGTACAAACAACTGGTGAGTCATCACTGGAGAAGATTTTTTTCAATTTAATCCCCGAAAGCGTCTTTGTCTCCAACATGCGAAGCAACGTTATCTACTGACAATCTAACTCTAGACTGCATAAGGTATAAAAGGAATCCTAGACAGGGTTGAAGTACTGACTGTCAGTGACTGTCATAACTGGATAGTTCTGAGTCTAGCGTGAGGATTACCCTCAACCAACCTCACGCTTGAGGAGGATTCTAACTGTTCTGAGAACCCTCACCTCTTCCACCACCTCTTCCACGAACTCTTCTGTGACCAGGGATGAGACGACACGACTGGACCACTGCTGACAAAGTTCTACACTGAGTTAAACATGACTTGATAAAGCTCTACACTCTGTCTCTCTCTCTCTCTCTCCCCTACATCCTCTATCCTGCAGTATCCCAGCATAGGATACTTCATATCCTGTCGTGCGCGTGTGTGTCCTCACCTAGTTGTGGTTACAGGGGACGAGTTGCAGCTCCTGGCCCCGCCTCTTCACTGGTCGCTACTAGGTCACTCTTCCTGCTCCATGAGCTTTATCATACCTCTTCTTAAAGCTATGTATGGATCCTGTGTGTGTGTGTGTGCACTCACCTACTTGTGGTTGCAGGGGGTCGAATCACAGCCCCTGGACCCACCTGTGTGTACTCTCCCAGAGGTCGTCAACACAAACACGACCTCTAATGACCACTTTCCATCCAGCAGTTAGTTGAGTTAGTTATAAAGTCTTCTAACAGCTACAGTGTTCTAATGTTCTGTAATAGCAGTCTTCTAGTGTTCTATAAGTTATATAAGAACACTGTTGTAGTGTTCTTAGCTGCAGTTGTGGTCCTCGTTCTACCATCACCATAACTGTATTATTGTGTTCTACCAGTGTTGTAGTGTTTTACCAGTGTTGTAGTGTTCTACCAGTGTTGTAGTGTTCTACCAGTGTTGTAGTGTTCTACCAGTGTTGTAGTGTTCTACCAGTGTTGTAGTGCTCTACCAGTGTTGTAGTGTTCTACCAGTGCTGTAGTGTTCTACCAGTGTTGTAGTGTTCTACCAGTGTTGTAGTGTTCTACCAGTGTTGTAGTGCTCTACCAGTGTTGTAGTGTTATACCAGTGTAGTGTTGCAGTGTTCTACCAGTGTTGTAGTGTTCTATCAGTGTTGTAGTGTTCTACCAGTGTTGTAGTGCTCTCCCAGTGTAGTGTTGCAGTGTTCTACCAGTGTTGTAGTGTTCTATCAGTGTTGTAGTGTTCTACCAGTGTTGTAGTGTTCTACCAGTGTTGTAGTGTTCTACCAGTGTTGTAGTGTTCTACCAGTGTTGTAGTGCTCTACCAGTGTTGTAGTGTTCTACATGTTGTAGTTTCTACCAGTGTTGTAGTGTTCTACCAGTGTTGTAGTGTTCTACCAGTGTGTTCAGTGTTCTACCAGTGTTGTAGTGTTCTACCAGTGTTGTGTTACCAGTGTTTGTGCACCAGTGTTGTAGTGTTCTACCAGTGTTGTAGTGTTCTACCAGTGTTGTAGTGCTCTACCAGTGTTTAGTGTCACAGGTGTGTCTACCAGTGTTGTGTGTTCTACCAGTGTTGTAGTGTTCTACCAGTGTTGTAGTGTTCTACCAGTTAGTGTTACCAGTGTTGTAGTGTTCTACCAGTGTTGTAGTGTTCTACCAGTGTTGCAGTGTTCTACCAGTGTTGTAGTGTTCTACCAGTGTTGTAGTGTTCTACCAGTGTTGTAGTGTTCTACCAGTGTTGTAGTGCTCTACCAGTGTTGTAGTGTTCTACCAGTTTGATTTCTACCAGTGTTGTAGTGTCTACCAGTGTTGTAGTGTTCTACCAGTGTTGTAGTGTTCTACCAGTGTTGTAGTGCTCTACCAGTGTTGTAGTGTTCTACCAGTGTTGTAGTGTTCTACCAGTGTTGTAGTGTTCTACCAGTGTTGTAGTGTTCTACCAGTGTTGTAGTGTTCTACCAGTGTTGTAGTGTTCTACCAGTGTTGTAGTGTTCTCTATCCAGTGTTGTAGTGTTCTACCAGTGTTGCAGTGTTCTACCAGTGTTGTAGTGTTCTACCAGTGTTGTAGTGTCTACCAGTGTTGTAGTGCTCTACCAGTGTTGAGTGTTCTACCAGTGTTGTAGTGTTCTACTACCAGTGTTGTAGTGTTCTACCAGTGTTGTAGTGTTCTACCAGTGTTGTAGTGTTCTACCAGTGTTGCAGTGTTCTACCAGTGTTGTAGTGTTCTACCAGTGTTGTAGTGTTCTACCATGTGTAGTTTCTGTGAGTGTTCTACCAGTGTTGTAGTGCTCTACCAGTGTTGTAGTGTTCTACCAGTGTTGCAGTGTTCTACCAGTGTTGTAGTGTTCTACCAGTGTTGTAGTGTTCTACCAGTGTTGTAGTGCTCAGTTTGACCAGTGTTGTAGTGTTCTACCAGTGTTGTAGTGTTCTACCAGTGTTGCTAGTGTTCTTACCAGTGTTGTAGTGTTCTACCAGTGTTGTAGTGTTCTACCAGTGTTGTAGTGCTCTACCATGTAGTGTTCTACAGTGTTGTAGTGTTCTACCAGTGTTGTAGTGTTCTACCAGTGTTGTAGTGCTCTACCAGTGTTTGGTTCAGTGTTAGCTACCAGTGTTGTAGTGTTCTACCAGTGTTGTAGTTTCTACCAGTGTTTAGTGTTCTACCAGTGTTGTAGTGTCTACCAGTGTTGTAGTGTTCTACCAGTGTTGTAGTGTTCTCTTTCAGTGTTGTAGTGTTCTACCAGTGTTGTAGTGTTCTACCAGTGTTGTAGTGTTCTACCAGTGTTGTAGTGCTCTACCAGTGTTGTAGTGTTCTACCAGTGTTGTAGTGTTCTACCAGTGTTGTAGTGTTCTACCAGTGTTGTAGTGCTCTACCAGTGTTGTAGTGTTCTACCAGTGTTGTAGTGTTCTACCAGTGTTGTAGTGCTCTACCAGTGTTGTAGTGTCTCTACCAGTGTTGAGTGTCTACCAGTGTTGTAGTGCTCTACCAGTGTTGTAGTGTCTACCAGTGTTGTATGTCTACGTGTTGTAGGTTACAGTGTAGTGTCTACAGTGTTGTAGTGTCTACCAGTGTTGTAGTGTTCTACCAGTGTTGTAGTGTTCTACCAGTGTTGTAGTGTTCTACCAGTGTTGTAGTGTTCTACCAGTGTTGTAGTGTTCTACCAGTGTTGCAGTGTTGTAGTGTTCTACCAGTGTTGTAGTGTTCTACCAGTGTTGTAGTGTTCTACCAGTGTTGTAGTGTTCTACCAGTGTTGTAGTGCTTCTACCAGTGTAGTGTTCTACAGTGTTGTAGTGTTCTAACCAGTGTTGTAGTGTTCTACCAGTGTTGTAGTGTATCTACCAGTGTTGTAGTGTTCTACCAGTGTTGTAGTGTTCTACCAGTGTTGTAGTGTTCTACCAGTGTTGTAGTGTTCTACCAGTGTTGTAGTGCTCTACCAGTGTTGTAGTGCTTCTACCAGGTGTGGTAGTGTCTACCAGTGTTGTAGTTTCTACCAGTGTTGTAGTGCCTTACACAGTGTTGCATGCTCTACAGTGTTGTAGTGTCTACCATGTTGTAGTGTCTACCAGTGTTTGTAGTGCTTCTACCAGTGTATGAGGCTCTACCAGGTTGTAGTGTTCTAGCCGTGTTAGTGCTCACCCAGTGTGTGTAGTGTCTACCTGTGTTGCTAGTGTCTACCGTGTAGTGTTCTACCAGTGTTGTAGTGCTCTACCAGTGTAGTGTTCTACCAGTGTTGTAGTGTTCTACCAGTGTTGCAGTGTTCTACCAGTGTTGTAATGTTATCTAAGAACATTTTTATAATGTTCTTACCTTCTTCTGCAGTTGTGGGCCTCGTTCCAGCGCTACCATGACAGCTTCAGAGAGCTTGTCTGGCAGCTGGTGCAGCAGCTGTGCCAGCCTCACAGCTTGCAGTGACTGCTGCACACGACTCACTGCTCCTGCTAGGTCAGCCCAGGCACCATCCACCTCAGCTAGGGGCGCTAGGCAGCCCCTAGCAACATTGAGGCACATCCCTGGGCATGGCGGTGCTAGGGTACCGTGGCATGCACCGCAGTACTGCATGCGTGCTGCAGCGTCACCGCATTCACTGGGAACAGCAAAGTTGCTGGCAGTTTTGACCACTTGCGCGCCCACATCCAGCGAGTGTAGCAGCAGTCGCGCAGAATGTAGACCGCGAAGTAGTGGTTCTCCGACCAGCGTGGGTACTATGCCCCAGGGCTGTACTACCCTCTGGGCATCTCTAAGACACTCGGTGTACCGCCTTGAAAACGGTGCCAGGCGGGCATGCAGCACACTGTGGTACACAGGGGGAAAGAGGTCGTCCCAGAAGGTGCCCATGGCATTCTCCAGTGCCCTGTCGTCCGTGTCCGTCAGGCCTACCCTGAGGGCAGAGTACAGGTCGTGCAGGACCTGCCGTGCAGCCGGGGCTAGACGTGGGTACGTGGCCTGGAAGACGTTCAGGGCACGGTGTTCACTGTTGGCCAGGGCACTCTCAACCACCCCTGTAATAATACAGTGAAATACGCCTTTAATACCCACTAATACAACAAAATACAGTATTAATGCCCACTAATACAACAAAATACAGTATTAATGCCCACTAATACAACAAAATACAGTATTAATGCCCACTAATACAACAAAATACAGTATTAATGCCCACTAATACAACAAAATACAGTATTATATACCCACTAATACAACAAAATACAGTATTAATACCCTAATACAACAAAATACAGTATTAATGCCCACTAATACAACAAAATACAGTATTAATGCCCACTAATACAACAAAATACAGTATTAATACCCACTAATACAACAAAATACAGTATTAATGCCCACTAATACAACAAAATACAGTGTTAATGCCCATTAACACAACAAAATACAGTATTAATGCCCATTAACACAACAAAATACATCAATAATACGCACTAATACAACAAAATACAGACTTAATACCCACTGATACAGTACCCACTACAACAGTATACCCACTACAACAATCTCCTTCACTACGATACCTTCAACAATAACACAGTAAGACGATATAATCCCCTGGAACCTTTGAAGTTCCTTGACTTGTGATGAATGGTTTGAAAAACCGACAAGTTGAAGATTGAGACACTTATGCAGCATATGGAAATCTTTATTCAGGAAACGTTTCGCCACACAGTGGCTTCATCAGTCCAATACAAAGAGGAAGGCGTAAGGAGAGGAGGAGAATGAGGTAATCAGTCCCTCAACCTGGAGTCGATGTGTTCAGTCCATCAATCTTGTAGAATGTACAGCATAGGGCCGTAGACGTGGCTTATATACTGTAGTGAGGTGACGTGAAGCAGATGGAGGCGGGGTCATAGTGGTACCATCCACTAGTCGAAGTAGGTCTTCGTCCAAAGGTTGAACAAGTGTTGAAGAATTCTTTGTAACAAGATCCCAAGATGCTGCAGTCACAACTGTCGGACACTGCAGCATCTTGGGATCTTGTTACAAAGAATTCTTCAACACTTGTTCAACCTTTGGACGAAGACCTACTTCGACTAGTGGATGGTACCACTATGACCCCGCCTCCATCTGCTTCACGTCACCTCACTACAGTATATAAGCCACGTCTACGGCCCTATGCTGTACATTCTACAAGATTGATGGACTGAACACATCGACTCCAGGTTGAGGGACTGATTACCTCATTCTCCTCCTCTCCTTACGCCTTCCTCTTTGTATTGGACTGATGAAGCCACTGTGTGGCGAAACGTTTCCTGAATAAAGATTTCCATATGCTGCATAAGTGTCTCAATCTTCTCCTTGACTTGTACTCCCTGGAACGCAGGCGAGAAAGATGCATCATAATTTACACCTGGAAAATCCTGGAGGGACTGGTCCCAAATCTGCACACTGAAATGACTCCCTGTGAAAGCCAAAGACTCAGCAGACACTGCAACCTAGAGTGACATGCAAGAGTGTAGTGAGTACACTGAGATAACAGTGTCAGGGTACCAAGACTGTTCAACCTCCCATCATATATTGTGATGTAGGTCAGAGCAGGACCTGCCACTAGCCACACCTTGGGTCACCAGGCCAGGTCATGCAAGTGTGACAACTATAACAATTACAAGAGACAACATCAGTCGTGGACTTAGAAATCTCCTATTGGAGAAGAAAGATCTCAGAGAGACGAGAGGTGAGTATATGCTGAGAGAAGCAGCTGAGAGAAGCAGCTGAGAGAAGCAGCTGAGAGAAGCAGCTGAGAGAAGCAGCTGAGAGAAGCAGCTGAGAGAAGCAGCTGAGAGAAACAGCTGAGAGAAGCAGCTGAGAGAAGCAGCTGAGAGAAGCAGCTGAGAGAAACAGCTGAGAGAAGCAGCTGAGAGAAGCAGCTGAGAGAAGCAGCTGAGAGAAGCAGCTGAGAGAAACAGCTGAGAGAAGCAGCTGAGAGAAGCAGCTGAGAGAAGCAGCTGAGAGAAACAGCTGAGAGAAACAGCTGAGAGAAGCAGCTGAGAGAAGCAGCTGAGAGAAGCAGCTGAGAGAAGCAGCTGAGAGAAGCAGCTGAGAGAAACAGCTGAGAGAAACAGCTGAGAGAAGCAGCTGAGAGAAGCAGCTGAGAGAAGCAGCTGAGAGAAAGCAGCTGAGAGAAACAGCTGAGAGAAGCAGCTGAGAGAAGCAGCTGAGAGAAGCAGCTGAGAGAAGCAGCTGAGAGAAGCAGCTGAGAGAAACAGCTGAGAGAAGCAGCTGAGAGAAGCAGCTGAGAGAAGCAGCTGAGAGAAGCAGCTGAGAGAAGCAGCTGAGAGAAACAGCTGAGAGAAGCAGCTGAGAGAAGCAGCTGAGAGAAGCAGCTGAGAGAAGCAGCTGAGAGAAGCAGCTGAGAGAAGCAGCTGAGAGAAGCAGCTGAGAGAAGCAGCTGAGAGAAGCAGCTGAGAGAAGCAGCTGAGAGAAGCAGCTGAGAGAAGCAGCTGAGGAGAAGCAGCTGAGAGAAGCAGCTGAGAGAAGCATTTCCCGTGAAAGAAAATCGCAAACTGCCCCCCGGGTTTTGGGAGGTTGGAAAGTACAAGATTTGTGGGTCAAACTGTAAAACCCCCAAAGTGTGAGGTCGGGGACCGAAGAACCCCTTTGGGTCACCAGGCAGGTCTGCAAGTGTGGAACTTCAATTTCAAAAAAAATGTGGGTTGAAATTCTTTTAGAAAAAAGTTCAAAGCCCAGAGGGGGGTTTGGAAAAGACTGGGGGGGGGGAAAAGACGGGGGCAGTGGGGCCGGGAAGAGTAAAAGCATAGAAACTTTTAAAAAAGTAAAAGCATGAGGGGCTGGAAAGAGTGAGAAAAGCCTAGAGAAGATAGAAAGGCCTGGGGATAAAAAATAAAAACCTTTCACAAGAAATTAGAACATAAGAAAAGCAGAAAAAGGAAAAGGCTAAAAACCTGAAAAGCGAAAAAGTGAAAAGGGGGAAAAAAGGGGAAAAACGGGGGGAAAAAGTAAAAGAGCTAAAAACCGGGAAAAAGAGTGAAGAAAAAGCTAAGGAACTGGAAAGCCAGAAAAGTGAAAAGAGCAAAAAAGACTAGAGAAAAGTGAAAAGAGTAAATTAGGAAAGAGTAAAAAGGTAAAAAAGCATAAAAACTGAAAAGCAGTAAAAGGTAAAAGCATAAAAACTGAAAAGCATAAGAAAGGGGAAAAGAGCTAAAAACTGAACCCATAGAGAAATAAAGGTAAAAAGAGCTAAAAGCAGCGGGAAAAAGTGAAAAGAGTAAAAAAATTTGGAAAGAATTTTAAACACAGAAAATTGTTAGAGTATAAATTTGATTGGGGGGAATAACGTTGTAAATAGGACCTAATTTTATTTTTCCATTTTTATTTTTATAAAGTAATTTCCTTCCCAGTGGAAAAAAATGATAGGAATGGGGGGGGCCCATCGGCCCCAAAGAAGGGTGGGGTTTTAGAAAGAGGCTAACGCACCGGTAGGTTTGGGCCCAATAACCGAAACCCGACCTTAGGTTGGGGCCAAAACGGGAACAAAAATTTAAGGTGGGTTCTCCCCTAGCGGAAGGAAACTTAAGGTGGGTTTGGGACCCCCTCTTTAACCGCCCCAGGGGGGGGGGCCCATAGTAAACTAACGGAAAAAATGCCCAAAGGGGGGTTTTGGGAAGAGGAACTAAAAATTTCCCCAAAGGGGGGCGGGAAAGCTAAAAAATTTAGGACCTCCCATCGGGGGCCCCGAGCTGAATGGATACCGGGGGGCTGGAAAGGGAAAACGATACCTTTTAACGCCCAGAAGGGGCTGGGAATGTAAAACCTAATCACCAGGGGGCTGGTAGGAGGACTAAACGGCCCACCAGGGGGCGGGCGGGCTAGGAATAAAACCTACGCTGGAGTAGGGGGAAAAAAATTTTTCCCCCACAAGAATTTATGAACTAAACGCTAGAGAAAAAAGGAAAAAAGACCTAATGCAGCAGAAAAAAGGAATGAGAAATTTTTAAGAAAGCAGAAAAAAGGAATAAGGGCCAAAAATAAGACTGGAATAAAGGATTAAAAACCCAAAAACGAACTTCAGAATAAAGTTATTTTGAGCATCTTATTCCCGGAACTAGCGAATAAATGAATGAGCATAATATTACTGAACTAGCAGAATAAAGTGATAATAAGACCTAAAAACCCAGAATAAAGGGGATATAGGACCATATATTATGATAGCATAATAAGTTTTAGGAAAATAACTGAACTCATAATATGTATTCAGAGCTAAATTACTGGAACTACCCCCAGTAATAAAGTGTAATAAGGCAATAAAACGAACTCAGTAAAAGGAATAAGGAAAATATTACTGAAAGATTAAGGATTAAGAGAAATTATTATTTCCTGCTATTTAAAATAAGGTGAAGTTAAGGAAAGAGCTAGGAATGAGGACCTAACCGCACCAAGAAGTTTAGGAATGGGACCTAACGCACCAAAGAAGCTAGGAATGGGGAAACCTAAACCGCACCAAGGAGCTAGGAATGAGGGGACCTAAACAGCCCCAAAAACTAGGAAAATGAGGCTACCCCCCGGGAAAGCTAGGGAATGAGGACCTAACCGCCCCGGAAAAGCTGGAATGAGGACCTAAACGCCCCCGGGACCCTAGGAATGAGGAAACCCTAAACCTCCCCCAGAGCTAGGAATGAGGACCTAACGCCCAAGGAGTAGGAATTAGGACCTAAGCCCAGGAGCTAGGAATGAGGAACCTAACCCCCCCCAAGAAGCTAGGAAGAGGAAACCTCCCAGGAGTGGGAAAATGAGGACCAACCGCCCCCAGAAGCTAGGAATGAACCTAACGCCCCGGGAGCTAGGAATGAGGACTAGCCCCAGGAGCTGGAATGAGGACCTAAAACGCCCACAGGAGTAGGATGAGGACCTAACGCCCCAGGAGCTGAGGAATGAAAAACCTGACCGCCCCAGGAAGCTAGGATGAGGCCTACCCCCCCAGGAGAGGAATGGGACTTAAACCGCCCAAGAGCTAGGAATGAGTAGGACCTAC